AGGTACGTTTGTATTTATGTAGTTTTCGGGTGGCTCCCAATAATAACGTCGTCATGTATAAATTGCCTGCCACGCCCACCGACGACTCGGTGGCTCTCTGATTTATGCAGCCCATAAAATTGCCTGGCGTGAAAAAGTGGAGAAAGTCGAAGCTGAAGAAGTGCAGCAGCCATCGGAGGGGCAGCCCGGGATCTCCGTCTCACTCTCGGTCTTAGTCCGAATCCAAGTCGGAGTGGGCTTAGCCCCGGGCTGAAAGGAGCTCAACCTGTTTTGGGGGCAGGCGCCGGGATGCCTGTCAGCTCGCATCGAGATGAGTCGGCAAAGGGTTCCTCTAATCCTGCAGGAAAATACTGAAAAGGAACTAGTTCGCTGTGAAATAAAATATTTATATTTGTTTATTTATTTTAGAAAGTATACCTACGATTTTAAAAGTATATTTCCATATTTATTTATTAATTTTTATATTTTCTACTTTTAAAGGTAACTTTTCAATTTTTTTTATCAATAATCCCTACTATGTGGTATAGATCTCACCCCCGTTGAAAACTAATTAATTTAAATTTCATTTGATGCAAATTATGCCCCAAGATTAGCAATCAATAAATGAAATAATCAAATCGAAATCGAATGCATATTGGATTCTAGCTTTCGGTCTGGGAAACCCTGCGAACCAGTTTCCTGGAATCCCTGCCAGCAGTCCTGGCCCGATAGTCACGTAGCTTAAATGGAGTCCCTGGAGGATCCCGGAGGACGGAGGCGTTCGTTCGTTCACGTTCACGTTCATGTCGGTTGGCAGGCGGCATTATAATGCATTTTTTTGCAGCCCGTCTCTCCGGCTTTGCCTGGCACTCATTATGCGTTCGTCTTGAACTCCGGACTGCGGACAGAGAACTCCGGACTCCGGACTGCGGACTGACAGGTCCTGAATAGGCAACAGGCAGAAGGTCTCGTGCGATTTTTCCTTGGCCGCACATGCCTGACTGCACTTCAATCAAAATCAAATATTACACCCGGCGGAAGGAAGAGGCAGGTGCAGGCAAATGCACGGAAAGATAAAATGTTCAGTATTGAGTACTCACATGTAAGAAAATTATTTAGCTTTAAATTTTAATTGATTACAAGTTTTTAAGATTTTCCTAAAAGAAGTTATTGAACATTTTGTGCGAGTGACAGTAAAATTAACTGGGCTCCAAAAAGTATGCTATACAATATGTTTTTTGAAATATTCAAAGCCAAACCCCTCTGTTTTCCTCTCAGTGCACCATATGTGCCCTGGCATTGGCTTTTGTTGTGTGCCTCCGACATTCAGACAGATATAGCCGGGCCCTGGCTTGATTACGCACGTTTATTACTGGAAAAGGAGCAGGAATTGGAGTCAGATTCAGGATCGGAATAGGATTCGCAACCAGAATGGGCGCCTGCCATCAATATGCGCTGTGTGTGGCCTGGAAATGTACAACATGATTACTTGCAAATCACCTGAATGCGATGCGGATTATGAATGGCAATTGGAAATGGGAGCTGGCAATGGCAATATGTGCAACCCGACTCACCTGTTGGGAGCAACAAGTGCTGGAATTATTTATTTCTAATTAAAATTTGAAGAGGTCGCGCCGCTGGCTCATGAATATTAATTTCGATTTTGGGGCCGCAAACAATGCAAACTAAACATGAATTACAACTAAATATTTATAACTCATTTTCAGCGCGGCGCGCACACACAAAAAAAAAGATAAATAATGGACAAAGTTAAATAAAACGGATTTGTGAAAAGGGAAGGAAAGAGTGTGAGGGTGTGAGAATACACAAAAATTAACTTGTATTTAAAATTTAATTAAAACTTTTGCTGTTATTTACATGTCCGGCCCTTTTGGCAAATGCAAAAACTTTCGCTGCGGGGCGGGCCAAACTGCAGCTAAAATGTGGCCAAAATCATAATGCATTACATATGCATGGCCATCGGCATACCAATTTAATTGAAATATCGTGCACAACTTTTGGTTTATCGCAACGCAGAAAAATCCAAAAAAAAAGAAAAAAACGAACAACTGCAGAGGCGGAAAAAAGAAGCGGACGGAAAGGGGGTTTTGGCCATGGCTAACTGGTCGTTGCGGTTTTGGCGTTTAGCATAATTAGTCCTTTTGACCGCATTCCGTAAAATGCGGTTGCTGCCTCAATGCCCCGCCCCCTTTCCCGCCCAAGGCTACCGCATCTGCGTAAACAATGCATCTGCCCAAAAATCAAGGGTAGTAAAGAAGCATCGCTTTCGACGGCCTAATGTGCCCATCAGGCAAATGTCGGCCAAATCGCTCAAATATAATTCGGGCCGAATAATGGAGCCCAATGGCAGAGTTTGAAATGTGATTTCATGAAATGAAAAACAAAGTTCAGCCCGAGACCAGTTATAGTATTAAAATGTAAGATCATTTTGCTTTTTAAGCTAAAACAATTTTGGAGAATTTATTAAATCTTTATTAACTTTTTAGTTCATTAATAATCATGTTTAGATCTTGAAATCAAAAGTACAAGAATAATGCCAGAATTTAAAATAAATTTAAATATATTTTTATAAACTTCTGCCAACGCTACTGTTTACTGTACATTTCTCACCTTTTCGAATCCAAAAATCAACGGATATCGGGAACCCAAGCCACTGATTGCTGGAATTAATTCCCTTTTAAAACGGGTAACCACTGTGCGCGAATTTTGAGGGGCGCTAATGAAGAGGCTTTATTTGTATATATGGCGAGTGGAGAGGTCCGACATTTGGGGCGACTTCGGGCCACTCGACTGACCAGCCGCGCCCAGTTCTCGGTACTCAGTGCAATTTATGGTAAATTAATTTGTAATTAATTTTTATGCGAAACGAAACGAATGAATTTCTATGGCTCTATGGGCTCCACGGCCATATGGCCGCAAGCAGCGATTCTATTTGTGTTTTTATTTCTATTTTACGCTAGTTTAGTTTCAATTGCGTCCAATTAAACATGCGGCCGTCGCCCGACCGCCGCTCAAATCCGCCATTTCCGATTGCCTGGTAACATTCAACATCAAATTTTACATCCTCCCAATCGCCACCGGTTTTCCGCTTTTCCCCCTGTTTTTCCTCACCCCACCCCATCCATAGCATTTCCATTTCCATCCAGTGAAATCCTGAGCTGTGAATCCTCTGCGTGTTGCACGCGTTTTGTGTTTTTCGGAAATTGAAATTGCATATTTAAACAGGCCATTCCCACTGTGTCCATCGTACTGGGTGTTTGTATGTGTGAGTGAGTGCATAGATGTGTATGTGTGTGTGTCGTCATTGTGGCAGCAAACGGAAATAAAGTGTGTTTTTGTTGCTGGGCCATTTCTAAGCTCTTGACTGCGTTACGCATTCGCTTCTATAATTATTATTGTTCTGCTGCCCAAGGACATTCCAATTGGGATTACACTTACAGAAATATATGGCATCTAAAGTTGAAAAGTTAAGTTCTAACATTGTACAAATAAAAACCATTTTAATAGGCGAGTTTCTGACTTAAATGGTTTTAAGATTTGTTTATAATTATAATATATATTAATTCTGGATATCATAGTTAATTTCAGTGTTATTTCAGTGGTAAATCTACAACACGATACGACCGCAATTATATCGAACTAACTTCGCAATTCTTGTCTGGGAATTCCCGAGAAGCCATCAGTCATCAGTCGCCAGGATGTTTGGTTTATTAGCAGTCTGTAAAATCCTTACCTCTCGCCCCAACTTCGATTCGATGATGATTTAAAATTTCATTTCTATTTTGAGGTCCGGATATTGGAATGACTGGCAGCTGGAAAGATTACCCACCCTGAGAACACAAAAAAATAAACAGTAATTTTGGTTTTCATATAATACTTTCGCTTTTCATTTATTAGTTTTGCATTCTCCAATTTCGTTATTCTCGGGTTCCATTGCCGCTAACCCGTTCTTTGCTTAGTAATTCTTGCATTTATAGTTACATATATATATAGAATTTGTATAATTTATATATATAAGTATATATATAGTTTCTGCTCCATTTTTGTTCTTTGTTTTTTGTTTTTCATATGGCAACACAATAGTAACTTACAGTCGTAGCAAAGTGTTACCGAGTCGAGGAGCTCGTTTCGATCCCCCTAGCCTTTTATACAAATAGTTAATGCTCTACATATAATCGGGGGGCCTAACTGGTCGGCTAGTTAGTATGTTCCTTAGTTAGTTGTTGGTTGCTTGGTTGTTGGCCCAAAGAAATAATTGCACAAAGTGTCGCTCGACAGCTGCGAATGTGGGAATTGAACGGATCTGATATACATATATATGTTTTCTTTTCTTTTTCTGGTATTTTTGGTATACTATATATTCGTGTGTATATTATACAAACTCAGGTGGTGCTAACGGCTAAATGCTATTCAGTAACTTAGGTTCTACATTAGCAATAATACTTGTCTTTACAGCACTTTACAACACTGTTTTGTCTTCAAAAAAAAATGTCGTTTATATATAGATCGTTCTGGTTTTTTTCTCTGGTTTACTCATTAATTCGAATTTGATTTTCTTGGGTTTTTTTTGCTAGCAACACGGCTAGTAAATCAATTATTTAGTTAATTCTAATGCTTGCCCTCTAGATTTAGATTACGTTCTGTAGCCCCTTCCATTTAGCTAGTTGAATACTGTCCATGACTGGTGAATAGATTTACGGATTATATAGATGGCCGCTTACTAAGGATGGGATCTCCTGCCAGATCATCGTGTTTGAAGCCACGTATATAGACGCTTATAGATGCCTTGGGTGTATGAGTGTGGGTGTATCTAGGGGGAGTTATACATAGCCATCGTATATATAGAGTACCGAATTTGTTCAACTTCCTGGCTGCATTGCTTAGTAGTTTTATTTTTTTGTAGTTACTGCACTTTTCCGATCATCTTTATAGTGTGTATATATATACAGGGAGGCCGCAAAAATCTTTAGATTTTTAGAAATGCATCATTAATGATATCATATGGTATCATGTCATATCCTCTATGCTCTTGAAGATATAGAAACTTGAAAATCTCTAGAAATTTCTGCGGTTCCCCTGAGTTTTGAGTGATGTATATATGTGTGTATATATATGCTTTTATATAGATACCTTTACTTTGGTGTATATTTATATGAATATTTTTATTTTTGTTAATTTCTGTTGCCATTTGTTTATATTTCGCCTCCAACTCTTCGTTTATCTTTCGTTACGTTTCGTTTTGTTTGTTAGTTATTGTCCACCCATCCAGTTTACGGAAATTCTCTTATTTCACTTTGTTGTCACTTTTTTTGTTGCTTATATATTTTTTTTTATTCATTTTTTGCTGAATTCTTTTTGTATTGGCATATAACAAAAGGAGGCGAATCAGAAATAATTATAAATATAGAAGATGCATTGAATCGAAAATGTTTAAATGAGCCCAGATTAAATCTAAGCCTTTAAATCGACCAGATTTCCTGTTCGACAAGAATATCTATTGAAAACTAGGTGATTACAAAGCGAGCATCCTTGTTTATTTAATTAACACGCTTAAATATATGGAAAATTTAAGCCCTGCATAAAAAGTGTGATGGACTCGTGCTCTTTGTTTTATGCATAAATATACGAGAGTCCAAGACAAAAAGGAATTGAATTAAATTTCATTGAATTAAGTTCTCAATGCCGCCCATAAAAACATACAGTACAATATTTTTACGCAAATTTTCAGCTACTATTTGCTAGTTTTTGCTATTTTTTGCTATTTTTGCTAGTGTCTGTGTGTCAGCTTTTTGTTGAATGTTTGTTAAATTTAGCATTTGCGCTTGGCATGGAATTTACTCTATTGTTATTCCCGTTCTATAAGCATTCTTTCTCTTTTTCCGCTTTTTGCGTGCATTTGTTACCTAAAATTGTCCCGTTGTTGTATTATTAATAATAATGAAATAAATAATACAAATTGCTGCTGTAGGAATATTGCAATTGCAAGCCAAACGAATCCTGAGTTCGTGTTGTAAACATGAATATAAAAATTGAATGCGACATAAAAAATGCAAAATGCGTTTTCGTTGCCAGCCTCAGTTGTTGTTGATGTTTTTGTAACCAGTTGTTGTTGCTGTTGTTGTCATTATAGTTGTAATTGCTGTAACATTATTTACCACACATAATAATAATAATAGCAATAATAATAATTGCTTTTCGCAGCCCTCGCAGCCCAGTTGTCAACGTATCAAAAGGCCCGTGTCGGGTGACCATCGATTCGCCCGATAGTACATATCCTTGTACATCGAGGGGCACGCATATTGATTCTACGGATGTTTTTCAATATTTTTGGAAGCACGGAAGAAATTGAAAAGAGAAATTGCAATGCTTGAGTGATTTTTTAAGGGAGAGCGTAGATTTAATACACACGGTTGCAGGACTTAAAATGATTATAAATATATAAATATGACCATAAAAATATAATAGATAAAAATAGATAGATAATAATAACAATTTTAGAAAAAGTACACCTAATAATACAGAACATAAAAAAATAGTGCAAATTATGTTATAAATTTAAAAGAACAAAATTTCAAAGCAATTTGAAATCGCTACAATGTTTTACAATATGCAGACCACCCCTTTCATTAAAAATAAATTAACAAAATGAATACTACCAAGTAAATACTGTGAAAAAATGTAATCAGAGATAAAATTGGCGCCCAACCAATGGCCCGCCCGGCATTAAAAATAAATGAACAAAAAATGTGCAAATACTATAATGATGTGACCGCAAATAAAAACGCTGTCCACGTGTCCACTTGGCAACCGTGCGGTAATGCTAATGGGTTAATTAAAGCGATGCCACTCACCTTGTTGCGCTTAAAATCTATGTTCGTTCTTACGGTTCTATGGTGTAAACTTTGCACGGGTCGCGCATTATTACCTAGTGGAGCTTTTGGTGTACTCTCGGAGCCTTGCATCAGTCGTCGGAGTTGGTACAACTGCAATATAAATATAGAAAGCAAAAATGGTAATGGTAATTGATTAATATTTGGCTGTTAAGCGGTTTGTCCAGCTGGTTAAACGAGCCACTAATTCCCAACAAATTAAGTGCTAAATTCCCGGTGTTTAAGTGTTTAATTGACAGGACAACTATATTTCCGTTCAATTAACTTGGAATTTTTCTAGAGCGTACTTGAAATTTTATTAGGGTATTCAAATTATAAGTTTGAAAAATATTTAATGGCAGTTTTTAACATAATATCCAAAAAGAATATTTAAAAAGTCATTAACCACACTTCCCCATAACCAAACCTTTTGTAATTGCGAAAAAGTTTACGAAAATCACACTTGTCATTCGTTGACTTGTTTACATTCCACTTAATGCATTTTGGGCCAACTTTTTGCCTGTCCTTTTTTATTGTTTACTCATTTACTTTGAGTATTTTTTCGCAGCACTTTTGACCCCGGCGGCATGGCCATTACACATGTTTCATATGCATTTATGCAAATTGATTAAACTAACCAAATATTGTTTTTTAATTATGCACAGAGAGCGGAATATTGACCGCATTTCCACCGCGATCCGACCGCTGCCCAAATTGATGAGCAATTTTATAATTGCATTTATGCGATTTCATTGTACTTCCAATCAGTAACCAACAAAAAAAAAAGTAGGGGGAGTACAAAGTAGGAAACAAAAAAATAGTGAAATAGTAGGGGAAATCGAATCGATTCGTTTCGATACGAATCGAACATAAATAAACCAGCAAGTACAAGCCGCTCTAATTGCAATTGAAAAACACACGAAATGCATTTAATTATTTGCGGTTCGTAAATTGAGGGAGGGGCTCGTGAACTCACCTCCTGTTTGGTGATATAGATGGGCTTATTAACTATGATCCAGACGGTGCTCTCCCAGCAGCCCGGATGCGTCGTGGAGCCCTCGTAGGTGATGTAGTGGTCCGTGTTCGGCAGCAGCGACCTCACGGATATGTGGCGGATGGGCGTGGAGAAGCCTGGTGAGGGGGGAGTCCATAGAACACGTTAGAATGCTAAGTTCAAGGTGGGTGGCTATTTATGCGCATATCGCGCAAAAAATATGAAAACACGTCTGCCGCGGTTCTAATGAATAATTCAGGCCACCAGTTCCCAGTTCTCAGTTTGCAGTTCTTAGTTCCCCGTTCGCAGTTCCCAAACCTGACCACTTCAACGTCAGCGCTCGGCTTTATTCATACAAATCATTTTGCCAGCCGGAAATGAAGCAACTCGCGGCTTGGAGCCCAAGTCAAACTGAATCCGGAGCAGGCGGAGAAGGTATGTATTTTCCCCCACGAAGGGAGTCGCAGTTTTTGCATCGCAAGTGTTAGTTTTACTTTCTGCGGGGATACTCTCACATCAATCAGCTGATTGGAAGGAGGAGTATCTCGGGGGTATTTCAATCGGGATTAGAAGGATTTCCAGTGGTAGGGTAGTAGAAGGCAAAATGTCTGTCGCGCACTTCCGTTAAAACTCCATCAATATTCAGGGCCAGCTATATATCTTTCTGCAATATTTTTTAAATATTGAAATACGCATGAAAAACATGTAAAAATCTTTTCCTATTAAAATATCATTTAAATTGAATATGAATATTTTCTGTATTTTAATTATTGGAAAAATGTATTTCTTAAAATCGAGATTTTAGATGAATATTTTAAGCTAGATTATTAATATTTTTAGTATCATTATAATATTAAATTCTATTTATTTTCCCAAATTTTTTATATTTTTCCTCCAGCTCCCTTTTCTTTTGTAGTAGGGTATCCATAACTTGACTACTTTAAACTCTATATATCTGCCTTATCCTGTAGGTAGTATGGTTTCCTGGCTGTTGGCGGCGAGTGGCCTGGCATATTTCTTGGCCCTCGGTTTCTGCCTTTCGGTCGCTTCGCCCTGGCATTTTACAAATTAAGGCTGGGGCCGGGCTACCATAAAGTTGTACGACCTGTAAAAAGGCTATTAAACTGGCCAAGAAAATGCCAACGAGACGTGCAATGGGTTTTCGGGGAGGGAAGTGGGGGAATTATTAAGTGTCGGTTTAGTGTAATTCGAGGTTTCATTTTCGTCACTTTGTGCCGGCCGGTCTCAATTTGGCCGCCCCACCAGCCCCCCGACCCCCTGACCCTTCGATTTTTTATGGCCCGCCTGGACATAATTATGGCCCTCTGGAGTTGTTGCTGTTGCTGTTGTTGCCGCTGCAATGACATCATAAAAACGAGCAGCCGAAGAAGAAAGGGCAACTTGCAACGGTATTAACATTGCAACATTTCCGGTAGCATTTTGCGTAGACGGAAATGAAGGTGGTCAGTGGTTTGGGTTCGGGTTCGGGTTTTACTGTACTGGGGCCACTAAAAGATGGGATTTGAGAATAGCACCCACCTCGATACAACACCTTGCCGAAGGTGCTCGTGATGATCCGCAGCTCCGGATTGGGCGTCTCGCCAATTTGCACCATCAGCGACAGGCCGACGATGCCCTGCGACTTGTGCTGCGCCTCGGACATGTTGTGGTACAGCTCCTTGTTGAATCCGTAGATTTGGATCTGGAGGTAATGAATTTGTAAGGAAATAAGAAAGGTTAAATTTTACAAAATATAGTGCATAACATTTCTGCAAATAAAAGCATTCGAGTTTAAATAATTGCCTATAAAGATTACTTAGCAAATATCTAAAAAAGTCCTGAGCAAAAATATTCTTTAACTTATAAATTTAATTTTAACTAAATTGTTTAACTTTTTACAAAATTGTCCTCATTTATTAATTTGTAATTGTTGTTTAAAGTGCATTTACAACATTTTTCTAGTAATGAAACAATAAATTTATCATAGAACTGTAAAATCCGGTAAACTAAATTTTTTTGTAAATTTCCGAGTTTTTATAAAATCTTTTACTTAGAAGTTTTTAAAAATTTCCTTGTAGTAAACATAATAAACCCAATTTCTATAGTTTTAAATTTGCAATAGTGTTTTTTATTTATTTATTTCTCACCTCGCCGGGGAAGCTGTAGCCCTGGATGAAGTGCTCGGATCCGCGGACGTTCTCCGTGCCGTAGTGGATGTAGATCTCCTCGAACTGGTAGCGGTAGGCCAGGGGTCCGCCCGAAATGTTCACGTGCTGCTTGGTGTCCTTGTCCACCCGGAAGACCAGCGACTGGCCCGTGTTGTGCAGAGTGCCGGAAACCTGGAGTACAAACGGAAAGAGGAGGGTTTATGCATCCGGGCCAGGTTCAGTTTGGGGCCTAGCAGCCATGGGCTATACCCTACACGCACCTTGTGCTTGTCGATGTGCAGGGGCCGCAAATAGGGATCGAAGAGCAGCTTGTCGGGCACCACGTCGATGGGCGATTGGCGGCGTCCTTTGTTGCACATATTCCACTGCGGATTGATAAGGCCCCAGAAGCTTGGTCCTGCCGAAAAAAAAAGTAGGCGAAGGGATGAGTGGCCGCCGCTCAAACACAGACACATGCGCAAAAAGTGAGCAAAACAATATCTTTCAATTCGATGCGTTCTACACTCTATTTTTCAGGAATTTGTAGAGCTTAAGATTAAAGATTTGTATATTTTAGACATAATGGATATATTATTTATATTTTCTGAGTATTATAATAAAATGCAAGATTTTACTTATTAATAATAATAATTTTTAAATCCAAGTAAAAATTGTACAGTTTGATTTTCGTAACCAGAAAGGGTAGAAAAAGTACTCAACCTCTGACCATGGCTATATACATTGGTTATTGGCCCCCCCTTCAGTTGGCTGACCCTCCTACCCTGCCATATATGCAGTGTTCTGTCAATCGAGCAAATGGAAAACGTGTCTTCGCCTCCACGCCCCATGCAAACAGAAACTGAAACAGAAACAGAACTGAAACTGCAGCAGCAACATCGATGACAATTCCAAATGCCAAATGAAATTTCATAAGCTCCACAACTGCCCCCTCCCCCTGATTCGACCCCCTTTTAAATGGCAATTAAATGCACCGATGGGGGTCAGAGACACCCCCACGCCCCTTGTTTGGGTTTTCGGCCGGTCTGGTGGTCCGATGTGACGGGCTGAAAACTGTCGAAAGTTTTCAAAACACAGCTACACCATATATGTATCTCCATATATTGGCGATCTGAAGGGGCTGGTATGTGGTTAAAAGCGGGAACTGTGGTCTCTGCTATAAAAAAAGAGCGAGAAGCAAGGGGAATTAGGCCTTTGTGCCTTATACAAAATTTAATATTTTCCTTTAACGAAGCTGGTGTGCAAATAAATAGGTGTACGCATGGCTGACTACAGTGTATACTCTCTATTGGTGGCAGGTAAAAAGGTGAAATATAATAAGTGAGATATAATATATTTGACCAATACAATGGAAAGTTTTATTTTTGGTGTAGGACCATCATTGACCAAGTTGTCGTTTTTTGACCGTAACAATGAAAATATTGATCCAAATATGGATTGTCATACCTTTCTGAACTCGTAGTTAAATTTCCAATCGATTGGCATTTAAACCTGGATATTTTATATTTTTTTAATTTTTTGTAAAAAATTATGATGTACCCCCTTATAAAAAAAAAATAAAAATTGACGAAAATTTTATTTTTACAAAATCACTTGAAAAGTTACATGGATTTATTTATTATTTTGTTATCTTTCCAAAACAGTATGTATTTTTGGTGTGGGACTATTTTTCCCTAAGTTACAGCAAAAAAACATAAAGGAAAAAGGCCTATTTTTACCAAAAACCCAGATCCTAATTCTCCACAACAAATAACTCCTTTTTTGGCAAAAATTGGTCGAAATAGTAATTTTGGGAATAATTTATTGGTTTTTTTCAAACTCAGTTTAAAAACAAACCCAAATAGACTTCAGGACTTCCAGGATTTGAATTCCGTTTTCTACAATTTTTGGTTTCGATGGCTTACTGTTTGTGAGTGTGTGTGGGAGTGTGGTTGTTTTCCCTGCATTTGTGTGGGTGCTTTGATGACACGCGGCGGCAATAAATGCCAAAGTTTAAAAACGGCTCCGTGATGATGCAGCTGACCCGCCCATTGTCCAGTTTGGCCCAATAGCCGCCCACCTATCAGCCATCCCATCCGCCCATCGAAACCACCCACCACCACTCTCACCACCCCGCAATTGTCGCTTTTGTGGCCGCTGTTCATTTTGTGTTTTGCATTCATTTGTTGCTACTGTTGCAGTTGCATGTTGCTTGTTTCTCTCGTTTTTTTTTTTGTTTTTTGCGAAATGTGCAGCAGGGGTTAAAGGGAGAATTTGCAGACAGTGACAAGCAACAATTACAACAGCAACAACATCCCACACCCACTTTGTTTGTTCGTTCGTTTGTTTGTTTGTTTGTTTGCTCTGTCTGCGTTTTTGTTGCCAAACCATTTGAAATGTAATTAAATCAGCCACAGCATCCGAAGGAAGGGGTGCGAAAGTTTTACCAATTTATTCACATATAAAGATTTAAACGTTGGCTATTTCACAAAAGGAATTGATTAAGGGAGGCTAAACAAAAAAACTATAAAAATTGGATTGATAAATGTTGGGCCATAATTTAACAAGATTTTATTTTGGAATATGCATAGGTTTCCTAGACCTAAAAACTATTTATAGCTTATGAATTCTTTATCTGTTTTGTTTTTCAATTTTTATTTTATTTTAAAATACTATATTTTAAAGTGTTAAATATTAATGGTTATATTTTTTTTTTGTCAAATAGATTACGCATTTTAAAGTATGGTTTAATTGAACGGAAAAAAGTGACTTAATTTTTTCTATGGTCTCCTAAAAACTGTTTCATAATATTTATTTTATTTTATTTTTTCCTTTTCTGTTTTGATTTTTACCCATTTTTGGCAGAGCCCTAAAACTACTTTTGAAGCACTTACCGGATATGCCATCGTATGTCCACCACTCCTCCCAGCTGGACAGGACCTCTGAAAAGAAAGAAGGGAGACAAAAAGTACGAATCAAATTGAGAGCCTTAAAGCAGAAAGGTAAGCACCGAGGTGCCAAAGAGCTTAAAGTCTAGACAAGTTGGGAATTTGACTCCAAGGAGCAGTCAGGATCCCAGTTCCCCTTTGCATATGCAGGATAGCTTGGAGTGCAGGATTGCAGGATGGCAGGACGACCACCCGCTGGCAGCCAAATCTCGGTTTTTCAATGCGCATAATTCGCTGCCAATGTAAACAGCGCATGAAATCAACTAATGTAAGACTTCCTCCCCACATTTCCCCCTTTCCCCCTATTTTCCCCCGCAGACTGAGAGTCACCGGCGAAGTCAGACAAAACAAACAAGCGGCTTCTTTCTGGGGGGTAAACGATGACTTTAGTTGCCAGCCATCGAGACGCCATCGGATCGCAGTGGAGGTCCTTTTGGTCCTGCTTATCCTGCGTGTCGCATGAGTCAACGTCCAACTGGGCCACAAAAAAGCAGCCAGGATGCTGGGACACTGGCATTCGGGATTCGGGATTCGGGACTAAGGGCTGAGGGCCAAGGGATGAGCATGACAACAGCGATGTCGCCAGGCAGTCTGGCGCCAATAAAGTTTACACTCAGTTGCCACATTTCGTTTATGGGCAAGTTCTGCTTCCGCTTTATCAAGCGACAGACAATTTTCGCTATTTTTTTCTTATATTTTTTGCCAGTATCCCCGAACCCCCGAACCATCCCCCTTTGAGCAGTTTGAGCGTATTCAAAATTTATGCTATATGCGTCGTAACGGAGCTTTTCGGCAGTGGGAGTGAAGGGGGAGTTGGGGGGTCGGCAATAAAGCCCAAAGAAATTGCTGCAAGCCAAAGCGGAAGTTCAAAAGGGAGTCGCTGGAACTGGAACCGTTGCCCGCTTCCTGTTCGCCGCCATCACTGCGAATACCCTCCGTTTATCGAGGGGATCTACGACTTTGAGCAGCCTGAGTTGGGATCACTTTCTCATCGATATGCTTCGTTATTTCATGAGTTGTTTTGTTGCTTTGAAATATTTATTATAAAAAATTTTACCTATATATTTTCTATCACATCTTTTTAAATTTAAAACCAGAATGTTTCCTCTGAAAAGCACAATTATGTAGCATTTAAATACAAGATTAAATTTTGAGTATCTATATAGTTTTTTTTTGTATTTCATTTTAATGATGTTATCCCCTGTAATAAATTCTAAGTATTGCTATTAAGTTTAGTTACATATTTTCAATTTTAAATACACTTTCACTTACTTTAATTATTATTAAATAGGAAACATATTTGTCAATTATAAATTGTGTTTATCCCATTTATTTTATTTCTTTTGTTTTATTTATTTACTTTTTTATTGAAAGTATTTTGATTCTATTGCAATAGGGTGCTGAAACATCCCTAGCAACCCAGATAGTGTATCTCGAATTTGCCATTGGATCCCCGGGCATCTGGGGCCTTTGTCTCTGTTTGCTTCTGTTGAATTCCTTTTCGGGTCGTCGTGTTGCTTTTCTTGGCATAACAATGAACGTCCGTTTTTGTGAGCCGCGACTCGGCGACGTCACTTCATTTTGTTTGTTTGTTTGTCGCTTGTCGGCGATTCCCCTTCTTTTTTGTCTCTTTTGCCTCTTATTTGCGCTCTGTTGTTATTGTCTGCTTAGCGCTGTAAAGTATGCTATTAAATTGGCCCCAAAACGGAGAGTCAAATGGGTGCAGAATAAATGGAGTCATCTCGACGAACTCCGAACTAGACCAAAGGCTCTCTAGAAGAGAAACTCATCTCCAGCGATTCGTCAACCGATTGCAGAGTCCCCAAATCATCCAGTCCAATCCCCCTTCCCTTTGAAATACAATTCAGTCATTTGGTAAATTCGTTTTTATGCTGCAACAGCAACTTAATTTATTGTTATAACACTTTTATTTCATCGACCCACAAAATTTGGATACACTGGAAGATAACTATTTAAATCCAATTTTTCTATCGTTATAGAGATTTAAAATGCATACAGTTGAATACATTTTATAAAAAAAAACCATAATAATTTAAAGTAATATTTCAAAATTAGAGAAATATATCGAATAGTAAGAAATAGAGAATTTTAGATTACAAAAAAAAATGTAAAAAAGTACAAAATATATAAAAAATTGAAAAATTAAAAACTGATTTTTCTATCTCTGGAATAGATTTAAAATGCATACAGTTGTAGGTATTTTTTATGATATTTAAATGAAATCTGATTAAAGATGTTGTACATTTTTTAATAATAAACTAAAATAATAACTTAAAAGTGTGAAATAATAATCAGGAATAATAATTTTATAAGGTTTACTGTAAACCTTATAAAATTAAATATATTTTTTTGTGTAGCAAAAGGGTGCTGGGTTTTACGACGGGGAGGATGAGGATGGGGTGTTATGGTGATGGTGTGCCAAAGACAGTCAGTCTGTCGCCACAATTGTGTGTATATTTGCGAGTGTGTGCGCTTTGGCCAATGGTTTATGGGTTCCTGTTGGCCATTCAAATGGAATCTGGCTTTCGGGTTATTGTCTCTATCGCTCCCCGAAACCTTCTACTGTCTATATTTATAACTATCTATTTGGCCTCCCTGGCACTCGGAGTATTAGGCCTTTGTGCCACATCCAGCTGCTTTAATTCGTATCTGAGGCTGTTTATCAATTCCAGCGACCAGAAGTCGATAGACGTTTAAGTGTATCTGTTTATAGTTATAGGAGTTATAGGGGGCGTGTGAATAGTTCATGGGATGTCTGGCTTAAATTCAATGCGGTCAATGTGCTTTAGGTGGCAGTTGCATTTAAGCCATTTCTTAACAGTTGTATCTTCAATCTTAGCTTTAAAATAAGGAATATAAAAAATCCAATTAGATTTAAAAATATTTTTAAAAAATTCCCAGAACATCAAACATAGCAGAAAATACCCTTGGTGTTCTTTTCTCTCTTAAATGCTTTTCCCTGTCAATAAATCTCGTCTGATAAATCCATAAAAATGTCTACAAATATCATGAATATTTGAAGATAATTTCTTATTCATTCCCCCTTTTAACCTGAATGTTATTTTCCTTGTCGTCTGCTTGTATCCTTTGCAACCCTACCCCCAATTTATTACTCTATCAAAAAGGACATATTAATTGCCGTGTTTTCCCCTGGAGGAGCGTGACTCACTTTCTTATCAATAACAAGCGCGTTTAGATGACTAAATTAACTGGGATTTCCATTTCGGTTGTTTGTTGTTTGTTTCTTGTAATCACTATACGCTGGGCGTTAAATCAGAATCAGAATCAAGTGGGCAAAAGAAGGCGGACGTGTGTCTGGTTCCTTTTTGCCATTGTTATTTGTTTGTTTGTTTGTTCGGTTGGTTGGCGTGGGCATGAAAATGGCGTAAAGATGGAATGTTTGGCTATGAAATGTCCTCGACTTTGGTCCCGCTCTATATAAACTATATAGTCACGCACATCATATCGTGCGTGGGACCCATCAAAAAGGCCAACACGCCCCGGCCACATTTCAATGTCTAAATGAATTAAACAAGCCAAAGCCAAAGCGAAAGCCAAACAAAGGCTGCTTAAGGCAAACGATGGGGGATTGGGGATTTGGGGACTTGGGGTTCGAGGTTTGCCATAGCCCTTTTATGTGTAAATTATGGGCTCAATATAATATTGACAGTGAATCAATAAAGGAAATGTCCTTAAAATTAATAGGCGACATTTTGATATTGAATTACTCGCTGTGTCATCGCTTTTAATTAAAATTTCTAGACAAGGGGCGCGGATATACATATATATACATGTATAAGTATGTATGAATGTGCATATATCCTGGCATGTCCTGGCAGAATTTATTGCTTCCTGTGAGGCGAACAGCGGAGCGCTGATTAGTATCTGAAGCGCTGCTTCAGTTTATCAAACTGTCGCCTTGGCATCATCGGCCCCCTCGAAAGATTGACGACCATAACTCGCGTTTTTACCCCCTTTATAAGCCCCTTTACCACCCCTCATATCAAGCCAACCCCCTCATAAAACCTTTCAGCGAGTTAATTTGCTCGCAAACATTCGATCAGATTCCCTCGCGTTTTTGTTTGCGCATTTTTCACTTACATTTTTAATTTGTTTTGCGCGCTCGAGCTGAAAGCTTACACTGGATTTCGATGGAAAGCGCATTAAAACTGATTAGCTGCATAATGCATGGCCCGAATGGGGTAACTACATACATAGGTGGCCGAGGGCCAACTGGTGCTTTAAATATTTTACCCACCGAGCTGAGGGAACTCGGAAATAACTCTCGAAAATGTTCTTAATTTTATTTTTGTTTTATGCTAATAATTCTAAAATTTTACTCTCAAAATAGCTATATTATTTATACTTGAATTAAAGCTTTAAATTGAACACTTAGCTTTATATTAATCACTGATTTAAATGTATTACCAACTGAGTTGAAATTACTTTTGAAATTGTGCCTAATTTTATTTTTATTTTATGTTAACAATTCTTAAATTTTGCACCCATAATAGCTATAACAATTAAAGATTCAAATTTAACATTTGTTTTTATATTAATCGCTGACTTACGAAAACATATTTTCACTCAATAATTTGGCTCTCAAATAACTACACTTTATTTAGGGGAGTTTAGAAACTTTTTGTTTTCAACTGCCACACAATTTGCATTTAATCGCTCAGCAAATTAACCAGCAATTGGGACAGAAACAATTTCCTCGCCATTACATGATTTTGTCTAAATAGTTAGCAAAACTTTTTCCATTCCACCGCCCGAGAAGAAACATTTTAGGAATTCCGCACTTCATTTCTTTTCGTTTTCTATGCTTTTGCAGTAGAAATACTTTTGTTGGTTCTTGGCGCCAAAAATGAAATTCCCATTTCATCTTCTGGGGTAAATTAAAAAATGGGTCAGAAAATAAAATGAAAAAAGAGGGGAATGCTGATGAACAAAGTAGAAAGAGAAATAAACGTTCAACTCACACGATGAGTTAACAGCAAAAGTTGATGTTTGTGCTGCTTGATTTGTTATTTTTTCGCATGCTGTGGCAATGCGTTTAAATGCTACCGAAAACGTTGATTGAAAAGCAATTCCATTCGGATAAGGATGTGCTCCAAAAAATGAAAAAAATTTAACCAAAAAGGGGCCCGCCCTGAAAAGTATTTAAGAAACCTTGGCTTTTATTTGGTCTATTTATTTATTAAAAACTAAAGCAAAGTGTAAGGAATTTATTCAAAAACAAGAAGAAACAATCTATAGTGGAGTATTTCAACTATAAGATACCCTTTTTTTTAATTTTCTTTGAAGGTTCTTTAAGGCGCTGCAAATCTTCGTGTTCTTCCTAAAAACCTAGGACATTTTTCCATTATTTTACCGAATCCCAATGTTTTTCCCTAGTGCATTGGGGTAATTGCCAACAAAGTAAGCCAAAGCTCATGTTCAGGAAGGATCGGGGCTCCGTTGGCCCCGTGGCGAGCAAATACAACGTTTGAAAACCATAATTTGGCTAAAAACCGTCTAGACATTTGCCGCTCGCAACTAACCAACTATCTTAATTTGTTGGTGCCAACAAACTTTTACCTACTACCAACTACCAACTGCACCGCCTGAAGTTCCCCACTCTCTTCTCCAAAAAAAATAAAGAAGTCAGGGGAAAGGGGAAAGACCACCTGACAAAAGTGGCTGAAAGAAAGCGACGACGAGGAAGGCTCAAGAGGAAGTTGTGGCCGCCGCTGCTTGGCATATACAATTTCGATAATAAGCAACAGTACATTTTCCCCTTGCAGCAGGCGAAAGTGGGTGGTTGGAGGTCAAAGGTGAGCGGTCACAGGTAAAAGGGGATGGGGGGCCTGTGCAGACACACACGTGTTCAGTTTTCAGTTTTCGGGGGCTAATGCGAGTCACGTCAACGCTGCATGCGAAATCGTTTTTTGAAAACTTTTTCCAGCTTGTGCAACTTCATCTGCGGGTATCTGCGCTGTCTCAATTAGTGGCATTGGCCTCAAAAAGGGCAAAACTACTCCATATATCTGCATATAGCTGCGGTCAAAGTGTTAGCACTTCTTTAAAAGTCTTTTAAGTTGTTTTAATGAGATTTTAATGGTAGATAAATGTGTGTAGACTTAGAATATACATTTAGTTAAACGTGAGGAAGGGAAAACGGCATTACACAACTAAAAACAACAAAATTTTAGAAAATGCAACCAAATTGATATTTTGTAGAGATAAGAAAATCTTCTGGCATTCTAATAAATCTAAATGCTTTTAGTTTAACATGAGGAAGATATAACGACCCATAAACTCCTATAAGCTCAAAAATGTGCTAGTTTCCTTTAAAATGGAATCAATATTATATTCATTAAATTTTAGAAAATATTTCTGTCATTCTAATAAAAATGAATTGGCTTTTGTTTACCATAAAGGTTCTATAACTTAATCTTTGATTACATCTTTTTAATCTACGTCAGTGCTACTTTCTTGGCCGCCGCTGTGGCTCGCAGCACTTGCAGCAGATTGGGGCAGCCACTTAAAATGGATCGGTGGTCAAACGAGGCGTATTGCCCGCCGGCTGACATATGTATTGGCGTCTGTAATACGACAGACAAAAGCACAATCAGCTAAGCACTTCTTGGAAAAGCGGAAAAACGGGAAAAGTGGGGAAGCTGAAGGAATACAAAAAAAAGGAGCGGGGGAAAAGGAAAAGCGCTGCCTCTTGGCTGGCCATGTCAAAGTGATTTTTCACCTCAAGGGCAAATTTAACACAATAATTTGCACAATTTGTCAAAACAACCCTCCGGCTAAATGGTATCATAAACCACACACACACACACTCGCATATATAGCATATCGAGTATAGTTAAACTGTATATGTGTTTGTGTGGAGAGTTGATTGTCCTGCATGCATTTCTGCCATATAGCATATAGCTCGCTTTTGTTACGCCCCACAAAATGTTTTCCGTTTTTCCTTTTCCCGCTTTTCTCGCTTTTCCTGGGCTTCCCTGCTTCACTTTACTTTTTATGGCCTGCCTTCCATAGAAAAAGGGCCTTTCGATTATTATCAGGGTGTTTTGGCCACATTCATATGATTAGTCGGCTTTTAGATTTAAAGTGACCTGATTTGGTAAAAGCTTTTTTTCGGCTGGCTCATCGCTTAAATTCGGGAATAAATGGAATTGATTTGGGTTTCTTTTTCTAGCTCTAAGTTCCACTTAAAGTTAATTTATCATTATTTTTAGAATTTTAAGAAAAGGGTTTCAGTATCCTAATGTTGACAACCCAAAATGAATGTACAGATTATTTTTGAAGATTAAATGGAATAAAAAATATTACATTTTGATGGTTTGAGAAACTAAATATTTTTAAAACATCAAAATATTTAAAGGATGAAAAATAGATTACTTTACTAAAAATATTTCCTAAGATTCCTTTTCTTGGTGGGAATATTTTTAAGAAATAGTAATATTTTTTGTCACAATTTACAAAATATTAAGGAGAATCCCTAAGATATTGAAATTAAATCATATAGAATTTTTCTGAACACACTCAATATTTTCACAATGAAAAGAGCATTCGGTGCTCGGGTTTTTTTGCGGATAATGTTAAATATTTTCATATTTATGACTGGCAATGTTTTGTCGCTGGTGCCCCGCTTTTCACACCACTTTTAATTCGCTTCACTCGTTTTTCAGTTTTGCACTTTTCAGTTTATGCAATTTCAGTTGCTGCCACCGTTGTTGTTGTTTTAGTTGTTGTTGTTGTCTGACCGCACTGCCACTGCCACCGTTGTTGTTGTTTGTGTTTCGCTTATTTTTATTTGCACTTGTTTATGCTGCAATTTTTATAACAAACGCCAGAGTGTCCTGCGTCCTGTCCTGTGAGTCCTGTCCTGTCCCCCGACCACCTGACCAGCCAACCAACCTCGTAGCCCCGATTCCAAAAAGGCCCTGTACCAAAAACCGATCTGTCTGCGGTTTTTATCACTAATGCGCTGTTCAATGTGTAAAAACATTATGAATATAAAATTTAAATATATAAATATAAATATATATTGCAGCCATCAACTGCAAAGCTGCAGTGCGAAGTCTGCAGAAAAAGTGTGCAAAATTCATGGAATTAAATCAGCTTGATGAACTGTGTCTGTGCTCGGTTTTGCCGTTTAATTCGCCTTCTCCTCTCGTTGCCACTTTAATTGGTAATTGCTGTTGATTTGCAAAGCTATGAAGAGTTTGTGAGTGCTTCGGGGGATTTTTGAAGATTTTTGAGTAGTTTGGGCAAGGGATTCGGCTTGAAAAATATGCGCAAATTCTTTTTGAAGGGTTTACTTTTTGGGAGAAAGGATTTATGATATTCTATATTCCATATATTTGGGTAAATTCTTTTTGAAGGAATCGATTTATATTCTAGAAATGGTTCTAATAATTTGATTCTGTTTACGTATACTTAATATTAATTTTATTATTTGAGTTTCAAAAATATCCTATTTCTTTTAAAAGCATTTTAACTTTTTAAAAAGTCTTGGTTTACAAAAATACCTTTGATGCTTTTACTGAAATTATATTAGCACAAAGGAAACCCCATTTTGATCTGAGGTTGGGGTTAAGCTTGGGTTACTTCGGCGTTAATTTGTTTCCTCATGAAGCACATTTTTAGTGGCAAATATATTAACGTTGCTTCTTTTTTGTCATTTTTGTGTGAGAGTGCAACAAAATGCATTAACTCAGCTGAAGTTGTCCGAGAACATCCTGCATGTCCTTAGGTTCCCCCGTCCCCCCGTCTCCTTGCCCCTTTGTCCATTTGTCCAGACCTTGGCTGTGTTTTTGCCCAGGACTCTCGTCCTTTCACTGTGCCCCTTTCTTCTCTGTTCGCTCTTCTCTGTTTGTGGCAAGTGTCGGTGCGTTTTTGTTGCGGTGGTAGGATTCCTCTAGGATTCACTGCATGTGTCTGTGTGTGTGCCACTGCCAAAATCCTTTTAAACTTGCCTCGCAAAACATTTTACATTCGATGACGTTTCCATTGCAAGATGCAACGTCAACAATAAACCAGAAGCAGCAGCAGAAGCAGGCGAAATCAAATTTGTTGGTCAACAGAAAAGAAATCGAGGCAGTGAGTTAAGGGTTAAGGAGTGAGTGAAGTGGAGTGGAGTGGAGTGGTTCGAGACCTTCTCTGGATCCCGAATCCCTTTGTTGGGCATATTTCACTTACCGGAACTGCACAGCAGAACGATTGCTGAGCAAGCGATAAATCCTGCCGTGGAGCAGCAGAATGATGTGTGGTGTCCTGGCGACGGCATTTCTATGTGGCTGGACTATTGGATTGGGCCGACTATCTCTTGGATCTGCAACTACTGGACTATGCTACTGGGATTTCTCTGGGGTTTTTTCTGCTCCTTGCTTTCGATTTTTGCTCGACTTTTCGGCTGGTGGGTTGGATTGCGCACGAGTGAGTCTGCAGTTTTAGATCTGGCACTTGAGTCTTGTTTCGGTTTCGGTTTCTGTTTCGGTTTCGGTCAGTTTTGGGTTCGCTTTCATCTTAATTTCCATCTTCATCGCTCACCGCTCGCCGCTTGCCAACCGCCCACCGCCGCCCGCCGCCTTCTGCATATATGCAAATTTTAATTTCCGTTACTCTCTCCGATATGCACACAACTTGCTGGCTTCATTTCCGTCTTCTCGTCTCGATTTCTCGTTTCTCCTATTTCTCCGCGCCTCTTTTTTTCACACTGCACACTCGAAAAAAATAGTATTTGTTTTAGTAATCACCTTGACTGGTGAATAAATGGCTAGGAGCGATTTATGTATTTATTTTGGAAATCTTCAGTTTTCGCGCTTTTTCGAAACTACAAAAAGCGAAACTAACGGAGGGCCGAAAGGACGCGTCCGTCTGTCTCTGAATGCGAATCGAAACTGAACGGCGCCGTCAGTGGCATCAGCGCCAAAGGATATGCAACGGGCTTCTCGGCAGGCGCGCAGCAGCAGCAGCAGCAGCGGCAACAGCAACAGCAGCAACAGCAGCAGCAACAGCGGCGGCTACGGCAGCAATACTACGAAGCGAAGCCAACGAAAGGATGTTCGTGCCAACGAAGGAAAAGGACGAACGGTGCCGAACCACCACGAGTGCTCGCCACACGAATGGCTTGCATTCGAAATACTGGGACCGAAAGCGAAAGGATTCCTTCTTATAAACGTTGGGAAATCGACGAGAACTGAGAACAGTCTAAAGGGGAAATAAATTTCATTGTGCAGATCAGTTTTTACCGAGTGCTTTTACAATATCTTTCAAACCAATTTCTTAAATAAGAAAAATTCTTACTATTTGTATACTTCATTTTTGTTAATTTTAAAAGAATTGTAAGATAGTATAAATAAATTTTAGTTTAAGAAATGCTGCTAATTTTATATATTTTTTGTATTTAAACTTCTAGATTTAATTATAATTTTATTGATAACTATTATGTACATTTTAAATGGCAAATGGTAACATTTTCTATACTTCAAAAACAGATTAATTGTACGAATTATTCCGTTAGAGATTTAACAGTATTTTAAAGAAAAAATGCCAATTTGTTTTTTTTTTGTATGCGTTTTAAGAATTTAAATAATTATAATTTGGCACAAATATTTAATTTGATTGCAAAGCGGAACCCATTTAGCTTACTGTTCCCACACTCGCTGCCCATCTGTTCCCACCAACCGCACCACTCTTATACTTCCTACTCTTCGAAGACCCGAGACTTCGGAGGGCCAACTTCGGGACAGGACACGAGGTCCTTGCGTCGCTGCCGACGCCTGCGCGACTTTGGAGCGACGAATCCCGCGGATCCGGCGAATTACAACGCTTGCCAGCCACGTGCTGCGTGTTGTTGTTGCTGCTGCTGCGATTGTCCTGGGTTATGGTTTCGTCCTTTTTTCCTTGTCTTTTTCTGTTTCTTCCCTCCCATTTCTTTTTTTTTTTGCAGTCCTTGCTGCTGGCAATCAGCGAAACGTTACGTGCGTTGCCTGTTTTTTGTGTTTTTGTCCTGTTCCAGGACGGGTTTCTTATCAGTGAAGAGCAAGGAGGAGTGGAGGAAGGAGCCTCCGACCACGAGGAGCCCTCGGATTTCGTCGGGAGTCGTGGCTGGGCTTCTCTGGTTTCTGCTTGGCAGCCGGCGTTGATATAAATTCTTATTGGCGCATTACAAATTGCCGTCTTGCCGGGAAGATGTGTGTGTGTGTGTGTGTGTGTTTGGTTGTGAGTGTGGGAAGGTCCTGGCACATAATGTAATCGCCTTACATAACACAAGGCATAAACAGTTTTTCTTACTTGATTCGCGACAGACAACGGATTTGGTCCTTTGTTTTGCGGTAATTAGATTTCCACCTCATTTGCATACAAATGAAAGCGAAACGAATCCGCGAATGAATGGCGAATCAGCCATTCAACAAGCGCGCATAAATTAGCGGAATAAATATATAAACATATATACACATATAGTTGACAAGTCCTTTGTGGAATTAAATGCGGCGCGATAACATATTAATGCCGCTAAACCAGGCGTTACACCGTTTTCATTTTACCCCTGAAATTCCACGCGATTTTGCAACCGCCACGCACTTTGCATTTCACATCGATTTCAAGTTTTCGGCGGCTAATCCATAAAATCGCTTTCGCCGCTAATTCAATTCGAGTGTCTCGCTGCATTATTAAAAGCATTTCAATCAAAGTCAGTCAGCAGCCGGCAGTCGGCGGCATTGGGAAAGTGCTGGGAAAGCGGGAAAATCGACAGGCTCCTGCTGGGGGTCTTAACCCCACAATGCGCCCGCTCGTCAACGCACTGGAAGCCAATCACTTGACATTGCAAAAGCAGTGGCGCCAACTAACAATAACAATAGCGGAAATAAGTGGCTTTTTTTTAACCCGACTTTAGTATTACTCTGTAATTTGAGTAGATTTTTACTAGGTCCATTTTCCTTTAAATGTTTTAAATGTAAATATTTTTTTAGATTTATTTTTTGAGTTAAAAAAGAAATAAATCAAATATCCCAGTATATTAAGTGATACAATTTTAATTCAAATAAATAGATTGGAAATCAACTTTTCCACGTACTTTAAAATTTCTTAACATCTTGGAATTTTATTTTTACAGAGGAATTATTCCTTTATAGATTTTAAATATAAATTATATATTTTTGAGAATATTTTTATTCTTTGAGCTTAACTTTAAAATAAAATAATGCGCTATAAATGTGAAATTTAAATTTAAGCAATCTACACCCTCTTTCCTAAATAATTTAAAAATCCCTTGAAAATCTCCTTAAATTCCCAGACATGTTTATAGCTCGGAGATAGAGAATATTTGAAAGATCGAATCAATCGCATTGTATTTGTTGTTCATGTAATTGGCAGGCATTCGGAATTGATTAAGGCCAGTGACGAAAAAGTATGCAACGCATTTTGCAGCACTCACTCACACACAAACACGCTGACAGACACACGGATACACAAGGACATGTACACTCACACTCAGATACAGATTCAGATTCACATTTACACTTGCACTTGCACATTGCAATTGCAATTGCAGGCAATGCAATTGAATTCGTGGCAGTTTTAATGTAATTAGTTTTTACACCTTGCCAAACCGAACGAGAATGAGAGACAGACACGGCGAATTGAATGTGTGTGGGTGGGGGATGGGGGATGGGGATGAGCAGGGGGTGGCTGAGTGGGTGGTTTCCGCAGACAGAGCGCATTTTCTAATTAAAAACGCCAACGGCAATTGCCATTGGCCTGCGACCTGCGAGGCAGCAGCATCGCCACAGCCATGGCATTTCCGTGTCCCTGGCTTTTCCACCCATCCACCCACTATCCCCACCCCTTTTTCACCACCCCTAACCCACCGTCGACGACAGGAAACGGCGGCTAATTGGCAACAAGACAAATCGCTGTGGCAATTTGCTGAGAATTATGCGACAAGATCAATTTGGCCATCGAATTGCTTGCGAGGTTCAAGGTCTGCAATTGTTGTAAATTTTCATCTGCCAGCGGAAAAATTGGGCCAGCGGATAATGAGAGAGGAGGAGAAGAAGAAGAAAATCCCCGGGGGGGAAACTCATAAAACTTTTACGGCATTTTCGGTTCACGCCTTTGGCGAAGTGGGGTGTGATTTGAAATTAATATAACTAAAAGGTTTTACGGCGCCGCATTCAATCGTTCTATCATGGTTTCCCATTTTCCTGTCTCCCTATTTCTTATTTTCCTAGTTTTTCTTTTCTATTTTTTTTATTGATTTCCCCCCTGCGTTGCTTCGTTATTTCCCCGATAGATGTATGTATAGTTTTTCTTTTCGCGGAAATCCAGCTCTTTTCCGTTCCGTTCCGCTGGCGGATCCGTTCCATTCCGTTCCGTTCCGCTTCATCGCCGGCGGTGCGTTTAGTTGGTTTTTCCTTTGACGCTGCCGCTTCAAGCGGAAGTTCGGATATGCCGGTGTGAGTGTATGAGTGTGACCACACAAACACACACAGCACACACACACCCACACTTTTTGACGAATAAAGCCCGGCCTTAACCCTTGGGCGGTCAACGCAGTCGAAAAGTGGACAGCGTTGCACTCGAACGGACCGCAAATTAAATTGGAACTTCAACTCCAGGCGTTGGCAATTCATTTCGGGTTGATGGACTAGGGACCCTTGGGGAAGCAGATGGCTTATTAGCAGCACTAAAGGTGTAAGTTAGCCCGAGTTCAACTCCCAATACCATCTTAAATATACAACTAAATATTTCCTTAATACTTATCTACTCTAAAATAAATTCTAAAATAGTAAATTATATTTTCCTATAATTTTTCAGGAATAAGTAATGTATTTTAGTTATATTTAAGTTAATATAATATGTATATCCCACAAAATATTTTTTAAAAAATAATTTCTTAGCAGAATAAAACTATTTATACAACCACTTAACCGCACAAAAGATAACTCATCACAAGGGTTAAGGGTTACGGGTTAAGTGGGGCTGTCCCCGTCGACTGGCATTTCAATCATATTCGATATCAAGCATTGAAATGGTTATTTATTTATTTATGCATTCAGCTGAACATCAGAACAGCCACCAGCTTCTTGGGGAATTTATCATAGTGGAAAAGGGGCGGTCGAGTGAGCCACTTTTGCGCTATCAGCTCGGGTTACCGGGGTCCTTGCAGGACCTAGCCAGGATCCTGTCCACCTGCTGCTTCCTTTTAATTCGGTTTACACAAATATTTCCGTTTTAGTTTAAGGCGCCATATCCGTTTTCCTTTTTTCCCCGCTTTCCCCTCAGTGCAAGTGCAACACAATCCTATTTTCTTCTTTTTCCGCCCGTGTTGTTGTTGTTGTTGTGCTTGTGTGGCCTTCAGGTGTAAACATTATCTGCATTTTCACGCTCCGAACAGAAATTTATTGCCGATGCTGGGCAAAGGCAGCCACATCCCATCTTTGAGGTGGGTCTCTCGGTCTGGGCAATCGAGGAGCAACTTTATCGCTGCAATTGCGTCTCATCTTCCAGCACTTGACTGTTGCTCTCTCGTTCTCTGTTTGTGTGTGCATTACGCTAAATTACATTTTGAATATTGAATTGACGCTGCCAGCAGCCACCTGACCTTACTTGCCACCCCCTAAGCCACCCTGAACCACCCGAACTTACCCCACCTGTCTGGGAAATCGAATTCGTTTGTTGCATTCCTTCAATTGAATTTTTGCGGTTCCTTCGCCTTGTCGTCCTTGTCGTTTTCACTTGGATGTCTTGGGGTCGCCTTTCTTCCTCCTCCTTTCACCTATTTCTCCTCTTCTCCTTCTCCTTCTTCATCTAATTTGATGGTGACGCAAACAAATTCGCTGCACAACCTGGCAATTTTCCGAGTTTGTCGAGCTTTCCCC